ATTTTTAAGGCCTTCGCTATGATCGCGTACAAGTTTGAAGAGGTGGTGTCCTGAATACAGTATATGAAAATCTCGCTTAACATAAACCACTTTGACAAAATTGATCAAAATATTTGGATGTTAACGGTAATGGTACTGTAGGTTTGGGGTCGGTAATTTTTTTTTATGATTTTGAAAGTCTCTTCTGCTCACCAATACTACATTTATTTGATCAAAAATACAGTAATATTATGAAATACAATATATGAATATATATTGAATATGAATATACAATTTAAAATAACTGCTTTGTATTTTAATATATTTTAAAATGTAACTTATTCCTGTGATGCAATGCTGAATTTTCAACATCATTACTCCAGTCTTCATTGCCATATGATCCTTCAGAAATAAATCTAATGTGCTGATTTGGTGCTTCAGAAACTTTTTTTTTCTTTTTCAAAGTTGAAGACAGTTGTGCTGCCTAATTTGTTGTGCAGAACAGCATTTTTAACATATTTTTTGTAATAATGTAAAAGTCCTTACTATCCATTTCAATCAATTTAATGCATCCATGTTGAATAAAAGTATTAAAATTGCTGACCCCAAACTTTTGAACAGTAGTGTATCTCAATATACTTAATAATAAAAAGTAATTGGCAATACCTTTTTATTTTTTAAATAATCCAATGTATTAAATTAATTTGAAATGAACAGTACTTCATCCAATTTTGTTATTTTCTCCTTTTATTTGGAACTTCATGGGCACAAATCAAAAGACACTAAAAGATTAGTCTGGCTTCAGTGCACACACAGCTTCACAAAAAACTTTAAACAGTCATTTCAACTCGGAATTCCTATTATATGAGCCATATTCTGTTGTTTCAGCCACATTAAAGTTGTATTATCTATTATCTATGTTATAAATTTCTGACATTTCTTCAGGATATAATCAACTCCATGAGCAACAGCCCAGCCACCAGTAAGCCCCCTGTCACTTTGCGTCTCGTGGTGCCCGCCAGTCAGTGCGGCTCCCTCATCGGCAAAGGAGGCTCAAAAATCAAAGAGATGAGAGAGGTATGAAACTTTGCGCTAAGTCTTATTTTCTGATCATGGACTGTCAGATCTCTTTTACTAGCTTATGCAACTTGGCAAAGCCACAAAACTCACAAATATATACAAATCATCTAAATATATTAACATCTCACTAGACACATCCTGTTCTCAGTGTAACCAGGTCCCTGCTCAGTCTTTCTATTCACCAAGAGTTGCTTTTTCTAAAAAAAGGTTGAATGGAAATCACGACATTGCTGATTTCGTTCTTCACTTTTAAATGACTTCAATGGAAACATATGCTTGCATGCAGATGGCAACATTTGGCCCAGCGTTCCCCTGAGAGCAGTGCGGTCTCAGAGCAGATCACACCATCATCAGCAGTGGATGCTCTGAATCATAGCCTGGTGTTTTTTCTTTTTCTTTTTCTCTCCAGTCCACAGGAGCTCAGGTGCAGGTAGCAGGGGACATGCTGCCTAACTCCACAGAGCGCGCAGTGACAATCTCCGGCACCCCGGAAGCCATCATCCAGTGTGTCAAACAGATATGTGTGGTCATGCTGGAGGTACAGTATTGTACAGTGTTGTTTAAAGGATAAGAATGAAAAATATTTCATTGTTTACACCTCGTCATGTTGTTTTAAACCCATATGACTTTCATTACTCTGTTGAACACAAGAAGTTAAAAAAGGAAAAAAAGCACCATCAAGGTTCAACTTCTGAAGCTGTATGATCATTTAAAGTTGCCTTAAATTTAAGATTTGAATTGCATATAAAATTGCTATTTATTTGGATTACACAGTTTTAACATAAGTAAACTATTAATCTTGTGATACATATTCGTCAGTCATGTATATATAAAACATGTAAGAGAATGATTGCACTCAAAATAAATCATGGCATGGTTAAGTTATTAACTATGTATGCCATTTTATTTAAATAATCATATTTCAATAAGAATGCATTCATTTAAATTGCTTAGCATAAATTAGTTCACTGTAAAAAATGACATGTATTCAGTTAAAAAAGTATGAACATGGTTCAAATATGGCTAGCTGAGGAACAAGCAATATTCAAATAGTTAAAATGTATGAGATTGAAAGTAATAGATTTATTGATGATTGATAAACCTGGTTATTGTTTATTTAAAACGTTGTTTAATGCTATTACAGAAATCTTACCTGTAAAAATGGACATACTATTTTTTAGTATGTTTAGTTTATGTATTTACTGAAAATTATGCTTAAATATTTTGTATCTGTTTTCTAAATGCATTTTATTGATCTTACTGTAACTATTCATCCATGCATGTGTTTTATGCAATCATGTGACCTGTCTTCGTCCAATCAACAACCGATGGATAGAACCACACTACGTTTATTTATTTACGATTATCAATTTCTCTTTGATGTACATCAAAATATAGAAAATGAACAAATTATTCTTTACATTTAGATCTTTTCAATGAATAAGGTGTGATCAAGTTCACTTATTGACTTCAGAAGTTTTGGATATGGTGCATAAGTCGTGTTTATAATATTTTTATGACACAAAAAAGATGGCTTTGCCTCCTTTTTAAAGCTGAAAAGTTTTATTCCCTATTCATTGTAATTGCTCAGAACAGAGCTACCAGTACATACAGTACAACGTTTTCCTTTTGTGTCTCACAGAAAAAGTAAGTCTGTTTTGGAACTCTGCGAAGCTGAGTAATGATGAATGAATTTTCTTTTTTCTTTTTTTTTGGGGGTGAAATCCATTCTTTATGACAAAAACAATGGGGTGGATGCACAACCGTACACACAGCCACACTCCATTACAGGCGTCCTGCCAAAGAGAGACTACATTGTTTTACTTGTGATTAATGAGAAACACAAAGCTTCCGTTGGCTTGCTTACACCTTCTCTCAGTTTATTGATTTAAATGTTATTCTTATCCACCAATGGCGTGTAGGCCTGATCTCTGCTGAGGTGAATTGTGCTCTGATTGGGCGTTATCGAATGCTTTTCATTCTTGGCTTGTACAGCCACAGATATATTTCTAAAGTAATCAGATCGCTTGGGACTTTACAACAGGTACTGTCTCTTCCTAAAATTCAATCTGCTTGATTGGACCTTTCCAGGGTGACAAATGAATTGGAAATATTATCAGCTACACATTTTAACATATAAAACTGCAAAGTAAAACAGTGTATACTGCTTAGCATTCAGTTGGTGGTGTTCCCTTTCGAACAAAGCCATTTTTCATTTCCAGTGTGGAAAATGAACGCAAAATTATCTTTCTCTTTATTTGATTGGACTTGATTCAGACTTAAATATATATGCAATTATTATTAATAATAATAATTAAACATGCAATGTGATGAGGTGATATAATAATGGCATATGACTGTTCGACACCTTTATTGCGTTATTGCAAACTGTTTTGCATTCAGAACTAATTAAAAAACGACTTATAAAATATATGCACTGTTTAAAAGTTTGGGGTCAGTTTATTTTTGTTTTGTTTTTTAAGAAAATGTATGTTTATTTTTCAAGGTTGCCAAAAATGTATCAAAAGTGACAGCAAAGACATTTATAGTGTTACAAAAGTTTCTATTTCAAAATGTATTTTTTAAACTTTCTATTTTTTCTATTCTATTTCTATTTTTTTTTACTTTCTATTTCTAAGAATACTTGTTTTCAACATTGATAAATGTTTCTGTAGCACCAGTTCAACATTTTTCTGGAGATTTCTGGAGGATCATATGACACTGAAGACTCGAGTAATGATGCTGAAAATTC